CTCTCTCTCTCTCTCTCTCTCTCTCTCTCTCTCTCTCTCTCTCTCTCTCTCTCTCTCACACACACACACACACACACACACACATGCATAAGGGAGTATCTGCGCCGGACGTGTATGGGAGAGCTAATGGGTTCTGGACCACCGGCCTCAGGCTTCGTTTGTTCTTCTGTTCTTCTTCCCCCCCTTTTTTTTCCCCGTTTCCTTCCTTCTTTTTCCTGTTTTTTCTTTGTCTTCTTTTTTTTTCTTTTTCTTTTTCTTTTCCTTTTCTTTTCTTTCCTTTCTCCCTTTTCCTTTTTCTTCCTGCTTTTTCCTCTTTTCTTTTCTTTTTTCTTCTTTCTTTTTTCTTTTTTCCTTTTTCCTTTTTTTCCCACCATGAGCGGATATAGGATGGACTGAGAAGAGCAACTCGCTCTCGGTCCTCACTGGGGCTTGTTAAACGAAGTAACAGCCTCTAACCGGTAGGACTAGTTTGAATTTTTTCCGGCCCCGGCCTATGCGTTGGGCTTACCCGTTGTCCACTATAGTACCGACCCTTGTTCTCGAATTTTTTTACTCCCTGTTCCTTGTCTTACTTTTTTCTTTTCTCCTTTTTTTCCTTTTTTTCCTTTTTTTGTCGTTTGTATCCTCCTTTCCCCTATCTCGACCGTCGGACTAACGCACGAAATGAATGGACGGCAAAAGAAGCGTGCGTAGGAAGTGTACTATATGGGGTCAGGACGGATACTATATTAGGATTAGATGTCGGGCTTGCTATTCATCGAACCATCGGGCAATTGGTGGCTCTGACAACGGGAGGAACTTAGTGCGATCCGGTTTCTGCGGGAATCTTGTGAGGCGAGGGACGGTCTGGACTTCTTCGATGAATGGGACCAGGAGGAAGAGCAGCACGTGGAGGAGGAAGTGGTAACGCTCCTAGCGTGAGACCCTCCCTTTTTCGCCTCCCCGACCACACTGCAAACTTTCGCGATGCAAGGCGATGTGACATGCCCCGCCGCGACCGCAATGACCTGCCTCTGTTCCTTCTCGCCTGTGTTGAACGCCTATCTGGCCCTGCTGCTGCTGCTTGCCCTGCTGCCGAACCTCGCCATAGCGAGTCTGCTGTTTACCGCTTGCCTCTCGGAGAGAGTGTTTTTAGGCACTTCGACGAAGTGTTTCGCAACGCTCATCGCCTACACCGTCTGCTTTATTGCGCTTCCTCTTATGGGCTGCTGCTGCTTGCTCTTTCTGTTAACCGCTGCCAGCGGGTCGATCAACGTGAAGTGATTAGGACGCGAGGATACTAATGGAAACGAAGATGGCGACACGGACGTCTTCACACATCTTTTTAGCGTTTATCTCTTTTCTGTCCTTCCTCTCCTTCCTCTACTTCATCTACTCTCTCCCCTCCCCCCCTCAATGCAGTCTCTGCCCCCCTTGCCCTTCTCTTCCCCCCTMCCCCACCCGCAATCCCCCACCCCCTCCGTTATCCTATCCACGTAACGCCCCCCCGCGCCCCCCTTCAACCCCCCCGCCTTCCAAAGATCATGGAAGATGTCCCCCCTCTGATGACACCCCAGATGGCATGGGGTAGAAAAGCGCTTCAGGGATTTGCCATGCCCTTCCTGCGCGATTCGGCGAGATGGCCCGAGCGGTTGCAGGAATGCATCGGGCCTGGAGGAGAGAGCTGAAGCAGGATCTTCTTTCGCCACCGTCTCCCTTCCCTTGCTCCCCTCCCTCTCTGACTCTTCTCTATGACAGTCTTTTTGTCACGGTTACTCGTATGGATGCTGGCAGCGGTGTGAGCGAGGTCGGTCGGTGTATGGATCTATGATCACTGTAATTTTTTCAAGAACTTGTCGGAATTTTGTCAATAATTGGATATGCGATGGCGTCTTATATCTTTCTGGTCACTCGCCATTATCGTTCTTTTGTGCAAATGTGTGTGGAATTATACTCTTGCTATGTTGATAGTACTTCTTACTGCTGCATGTAAATCTTTCTTCAGAATTTTGGTATCTCCTTTGTGTGTCCATTGTATATCGTCACTATGAATTTTCCTCTGTAAATGGTTGTGTTTATCGAAACTTGGAATCTTCATTCATTTCTGTTTTCAAAGGATAGCTGCGATATATGAATGCTAGCATGTATGTTTAACAGACTTCTGCTCACCTTTGGCCATCAACAAGCTCCCTTTATCCCATCATCTTGATTTTATCATGTATGATCTTGGCATTTCTATAACAATCACACCATGAATTTTTTCAAATATTTATTCCTATCGTATGGATTGGATTTGCAAATCTTCATCCGATTAATTAATTATTTTTGCTCTCAGATAAGGTTGCGGTTTATGAATGTGTGTATGTATTCGCATCGAAAAATAGGCTTCTGCCACTCTTGCCCCCTGTCCTGAATGGCGCTCGCGTATTCACATGGCAAAACGACCTTTCCTACCCTTACCGCAAAAAGGGCGTACGATGTGGTTATACCCCGTTGTGTTTGAAATCGCCTCCGCGCTTTGCTCTTGCCCGCAGTATGCCGACATTTTTAGTCGGGGTAAGCACGAGTATGGCGTGTCGTACTCGCGCGAAATTCATGTGACACACACATGCAACACACACACACACACACACACAAACAAAAAAACGAACTTCCCCCCTTTTTTTTTCAGGAGGCCCCGCGCGGCCTCAAATTTTTGTTAAAATATTTTTGTGGTTTATGATGCAACATCCCACTCGGGTCTAAAACACCCCTTCCCAATTTTATTTTTTTTCTCTACCCCTTATTTTCGGGGTGCGCCGCTGTTACATCTTCAACACCACACGGGTCCTACCGGACCCGACTTAGGGCCAGAGGGACACAATAGGGCCGAAAGGCCCGACCTTGGGGTACTACAGGCCCTAAAGGCCTCATCTTGGACCAGACCCGACGGGCAGGCCCAAACGACATTACCGTTTGGGCCTGGCGGCGCTCTTGAGGCTGCCGCCCACCGGTTGGGGCTGAACCGTCCATCTTGACGGTTCAGGGCACGGCCAGGCCTCGCAGCATAGAGGCCGGCCTCTGCCCCACCGGTACAAAAGTACCGGTCCAGCCTCAGTTCGGGATCGAACCACCGACACTTTAGCGGTGCGTTTTGGTTAGCGCTAGAGCACTAGCGCTATACTTCCTGACATGAAAGCACGAGCGCACCAGACCGCTCAGATGATGTTGCGTACGCTCATCCGTCCCGACCAGAAAGATTGGGTTGACTGGCTTCCCGACATCTAGTTCGCCTATAACACTTCGGTGCACCTGGCGATCTGCGTCACACCATTCGAGCTWCATCATGGTGGAGAGAAAGCACGGATCTTCGCTGATCTCCTTTTGCCACAGGCTGCCGACATAGACATCCCTTGCTCTCCCGCTTTCGTTCGGAAGTACCTAGACTTGCTGATCAAAGCCCGCGCAAATATGCAAAAGGCCCAAATCTGCATGCAGCAGCAAGCTAACCGCCGTCGACTTCCATGTCCTTTCCGCGATGGAGACCTTGTTTGGGTCCTCTCCGAGGAATTTGCGCTCGAGCAGGACGTTTCGCGCAAACTCCTTCCGAAATGGTTTGGACCATGGGAAGTCACTTCTGCCGTTGGAGACGACCCCGCAGGTCCTTCCTTCGTGATCAACATTCCTCCGCACCTTACAGTGCACCGGGTCTTCCACGCGTCGAAGCTGGCCATCTACACGCCCCCTTCTACCGACGAGTTCCCCGGCCGTCGATCACAGGATCCGCCTTCTATGGACGGACATCAGGAAGTGGACCGAGTCATCACGCACCGCAAATATGGCAACAAGCCAATGCAGTTCAAAGTCACATTCAAGCAATGTGCGCYTGACSACACTCGGTGGATCTCTAGTGCAGACTTGCASACTTCTGCACCCCTTATCTTCGCCGACTATGAGAAGCGAYGCCTTGCCAAGGAAGCAGCTYGTCCCACCCGACCCATCCCGGTATCGGACRRACAACTTCGCCCTCGCASGTAGCTCGGTCTTTTAAGAGGGGGATTGTGTTACATCTTCRACGCCACACGGGTCCTACCGGACCCGACTTAGGGCCAGAGGGACACAGTAGGGCCGAAAGGCCCGACCTTGGGGTACTACAGGCCGTAAAGGCCTCATCTTGGACCAGACCCGAAGGGCAGGCCCAAACGACATTACCGTTTGGGCCTGGTGGCACTCTTGACGCTGCCGCCCGCCGGTTGGGGCTGAACCGTCCATCATGACGGTTCAGGGCACGGCCAGGCCTCGCAGCATAGAGGCCGGCCTCTGCCCCACCGGTACAAAAGTACTGGTCCAGCCTCAGTTTGGGATCGAACCACCGACACTTTAGCGGTGCGTTATGGTTAGCGCCAGAGCGCTAGCGCCATACTTAGCGCAGGAGCACGAGGAGCGGCAGCGGCAGCAGTAGCGCAGCAGCGGCAGCGAGCAGAGCAGCAGCAGCGACGACTGAGCAAGATCGGCGGCCATAGCCGCCTGAGGCATCGGGAGCCGGAGGTTCTCTCCTCCCTCCCATCGCCAGTCCCCTCTCTCTCTCTCTCCTCCTCGACTCTTTTCTTCTTCTTCTTCTTCTTCTTCAGACTTCTTCTTCTTCTTCTTCAGACTTCTTCTTCTTCTTCTTCATACTTCTTTTTCTTCTTCTTCAGATTGGAGACTTCATACTAGTTGGACAGAGATCAGTGTTGGACTTTGGTGGTATGAGGCTGTGGTACTTACCGGATTCGAGACTTGGRGATTGTTGGGGTTGATACTCGGCGGCATCACAGTTCGGACACCGGTTACATTTGGACTTTGTACCTCCGACATTGGTGACTTATTGTCCTCGACATTTTGATCTTGTTTGATGACATTTTGGACTACCATATTGGTGACCTATCGGATTCTATTTCGGTGACCTTCGGTGCTGTCAACCTCCCCCACCTCCTTCGTCTCTCCTCCCACCTTTCTTCTGTGTATGTGTGTACGGGGCCTGAGCATCTTCCATGTATGGCTCAGACCCCACCATCTCACGATTGTATGTGTGTGGAGTGATATCTGTGTGAGTCAGTCTATGTGAGTCAGTCCGTTATCAGACTTCCGCTGCATACATGCTCATCCTATATTGGTTGATCTTTTGTTTTGTCCACTCGTTGATATTCTCACGAGTATGTAACAGTTTTGGTATCGGAGCAAACCATTTTACGGATCTGCTCACCAGGTAATTCTGATTAGGAATTCGATTGCTTCTTCAATCTTCCAAATCAGCTCTGTATTACTATCGAGTTCAAAGTTGCAAATTTCTTTTTCTCTTTTCGGTATTCTGTTTATTTCGGCATTTCCGTTTCAATTCGATATTCGGACTTGTAATTCGGATTTCTGTTTTATTCCGGTATGCTGTTTAATTGGGTTCCGATAAATTGATACTAATCCGACATTCTGATTAATTCGGATTTCTGATTATTAATTCGTGATTAGGGTTAAATCAGTACTCTGTTTAATTCGGCATTCCGATTTTACTTCGGTTTCCGCTTTTATAATCCAGCATTCTGATTTTAATCCTGTATTCCGTTTTCTAAATCGACATTTCCGTTTTATTGCGGTGTGGGAAATTAGGGTTACGAAAATTTTTAGTTTTCAATCAACTTGGGAAATTCAAACGTTTTTGGAACCGTAAAACTAGAACTTCCGCGGAATCGCGGAAAATTAGGGTCGGATTCCAAAATTTTCGCAAATTTTTTTTTTTTCTCTCCCTTGTTTGAGAAATTACGAAAACGGACTTAGGCCTTCAAAAATCGGATTTTGACGGTGGAAATTCCCGAAATTTCACGTTTTGAAAATTCGAGTGTTTTTCTTCTGAGTTTTTCCGAAATTTTTTTTTGCCAAACTAATCCGTATCTGACCCTCAGAATTGCAGCTTCCGGGTAGCTCACTAATTAGCGGTGAACTCTCGGACTAAAGATGATCTCAACGGATACCTAATCTTGGTACAATTCAAATTCGTTCATTATCATTATTGCAAATATTGTTTATTGATTATCATTGGGAATTATTATTTCGTTATTAATCAATAATTAAAATTTATTGATTAAATAATTTCGTTATTATTTTCTTATTACGAATTTTTGAATTGTTTATGGGAAATTTATTTTTTCTGTTTGATTAGGTGTCTACAGTCCATCAGTGGGACAGGGACTGTATGTGAAGTGTTTGATTGTTCTACCCCTGTTCCCACTCTCCCTACCCTCCCCGTAATCTGTGACCACCGGGATGTCTCAAGTACCACATCAGCCAGAGCTGATGTCGATGGAACAGGACACCGGGGCACTCCCACGACGCAGTGCCAGGCTTGCAGTTCGTACCCATCCTGTGGTACCTCCACGACGCAGGTATCAGCAACAACGGCTCACCAAGCGGACGACTTCAGCGGCATCAAGCACAACATTGACAGTACCGGTTCTCACCGGAGTTCTTCCCGCATGTCCGGTCCAAGGGGCCCATGAACCGTTGGCTGACTACCTTGGGCGGCTACAGGTATTCACAGATGTCGTAGCTGACGCCAAGGTTCAGCAGGAGGCAGCAGAGGCGGAACGTCAGCGGCTGGCCAGTGAGGCGGCAGCCCAAGCTCAGCGGACTGCTGAGGCAAACGCCGTGGTGCGAGACAAGTGGAACGCCATTAGCATGGAATCCTTGACTGTGAATGAGAGTTAGTGGACGACATTGCTCCAAGGCATGCTGTTTGTGCCTTCGGATACACAGGCGGATCCGACACCGGCGGAGGAAGAAAGGAGCAACCTGGCTAACCTGATGTTGAATATGATGCGAGCGATCATGTGGACCAATACGATGTTAATGGTGCAAATACACGAGGGCAGACAGCTGCGACAGATTCAGCAGAATGATTCTGCAGCCTTAACAGCTGCTGTTCGCGCTACCGCCACACATCAGCAACAACAGCAACAATTGTTGAGCACCACCACCGCACGCATCAACAACATCGAGGCTAAGGCCTCAGCAGCGCCATGCTGCACGACAGACGCGACAAAGCAGCTCAACGAGCGCATCGATCACGTCGTCACCATCATTGGCGAACTAGGTGATTTCACTAGTCCGGCCACGATCAGCAGCACGGTGGCCGCCATCAAGACGAACATCACCAAGTTGCAGACAAGACCGGACGCCGCTACAAGGAACTACAAGATGCCGCACTTCACCATCAGCAAGTTCGACGACTACAACAAGACGGACGCCTTGACATGGTGGCAAAGTTTCCTCACGGAAGCATCATGCCGCACTGTCCCGACTAACGACATGATGAAGGCGCTCTACTTACAACTGATTGGAGGAGCACAGGCATAGATGAACCATCTCGCGGCTACCAAGAAATGCACCATCGCTGAACTCCACACGCACATCCCGTGGACGGAGTTCGAGCAACTGTGGTTCACTCGATTCATGGTCCGCAACATCGTGAAGGCGGCCATGAACGAGGTGTACACCTGCTCACAAGGAAGTATGCCAACTCGAGACTGGACAACCAAGTGGCAAAAGATAGTGACCACGCCAGGCTTCGATTTGAGTTTTACCAACCAACGATTCGAGTTCTTCTCGCGATCGTGCGCAGGACTGCGAACCGCACTCGGCAACGAGTACGATTACGCCTCATTCCAGGCCATCCTGGATCGTGCGAACTTGGTCATCCAAACGGATGACAAGGCCGCAAACGAACGGCAGTCCCAGCCGCATTATGTGGCTAAGCCGGGCTATCAACGACCGACACATAATAATGCTGTGATTTCTAACGAAACAGTCGATCTCCACGCTGCAGCAGCATCCTCGAGTGATGGAGGAATTGTAGCAGCGCTCCCGCCGAAGCGTCCCAAGAGAGTTCGGAAGAACAAGGCGACACAAGAGACGGCATCGACGGGAACTGGGCAGCAGCCATGGACG